ACTTATAATTAAGAGTCCAAGTCACTATAACTAATGCAATTTTAAACTATTAAAGAGATATAAGGAAAGGAACAGGTGCCAAGAGAAAGAATTAAAAAGTAGTTAAGAAAGACATGTGGGACTTCCCTGGTGGTTCAGTGGTTAAGACTCCTCAATCCCCACTGCAGGGGCATGGGTTTGATCCTTAGTCGGGGACCTAAGATCTACATGCCATGGGGAATGGCATCAATAAATAAATCAATATTTTTTAAAAAGAAGAAGAAAGACTTGTAAGAAGAGACTTAACAAATAGATGCCAACCTGAAAAAGAGCTGAAGGAATGGTCTCCCACCTGCCTCCTGCCACTCTACCTCATCCCTAACATGAAATAACTATGCTATAAATATAGGAGGGAATGGTTTTCCTGGAAAGGACCCAAGAAGAGGTCTAGGGTCTAGAGATCTGGACAGAACAGATCTTGAGAGAACTATGTACCCACCAACTGACTTCGAGGTAAAAGATAAAGGGAGCACCATTCGGGAATAAAATAGACTGAAATATTTCTTCCTATAGTCACGTTTTTGTTTGCTTTGCTTTGTTTTGCTTTGTTAATGATAAGGACCAGGAGTCCTCTGGATCTTCACCCTTTAACCCTAAGTGAAGAAACTTTCCCCTCCACAAAATCTGCCAAATTACACAATATCCCATAAGTGTCCTTCCATTTAGAGGAGATTTCGGATAAACATAAGCAACTTCAGCAGGGATCCAGCACAATTGCCTCTACAAATCAACATAAGCTTTATTCATAAAAATAAATGGTCACCTAAAGATTACCAGACACTAGAGGAAAACTTTTAGCATTAAAAAGTATATTGCTATGGGAGAAGGGACAAAAATTTAATGCAAGACAAAAACAATTTTTAATCAATTCTATTTAATGTCCTCAGAAAGATTTAAATATAAATTATCCATATAGGAAGAAAAACCAGCTCTAGAAAAAAAGAAATAAGAGAATAACAGAAAAATGTGGGAGATTAAAACTGTCAAAAAAAAATTTTAGTATATAAGTAAATAATGGAATGGGTAGTATTAAAAACAAAACAGTGATCTGGAAACATAGTCGGTGAAAACTATCCAAACAAAAGATGGAAAACACAGGAGAAATGCTAAGAGATACTCACATAAAAGCAGAAGGTACATATGAGTAAGACACATCAGAGGAAAGACCAGAGAAAATAGAGAGGAGGAAATAAAGAAACAATAGAAAGTTTCCATTAGTAAAAAAAAATAATTCCTGGAATCCAAAAAGCCAACCAATTGTCAAGTCATGAGAACAGCAATAACAAAAGACTCAGATACAAGCTGGTAAAATAATGTAAGGAAGTTTTTAAGCTTTAAGGAGGAAAAAAAAAATTGCCTACAAAGAAATGGGCTTACTTTGACATGACAATTATCAACTACAACTGGTGCTAGAAGGTACTGAGGCAGTGCCTTTTCATACTAGAATACTCTACCAGATGACTAATCAAATGTGAAAGCAAGATGAAGACCTTTTCAGGCATTTAAGAACTCAGGTAGCTTATCTCTCACTTGCTGATCAAATGAAAGGGCTAAGATATTCAAGAAAGCGGGAAATGTGGAATCCTAAACAATGCAACTAACACAGAAGTCCAATTAAAAACAACAACAATACTATAAATCCCAGGTGGCTGTGTTCAGAAAGATATATATCAATGTTAGTGAAAATTAGAACAAAACCCCCAAATCTTCAAGGAACAGAATGTTTTCAAAAAGTGAGGAATTTGCATTCATCAGATAGTTCATTTGAGCTAAGAAATTTTGAGGATCAATGTGCTGTTCCTGTTTTTAAAAAGTAACTATAAAGTTTAAAACAAGGTGTAAAAGAACATTGCCACTCAAATATAAAGTAAAATGAACTCTGATATCATTTTAAACAAAATCTGAGCATTATTTATAGTGTAAAAGAACTTTTCCTCCTGGTACACAGGTTTCATGTCACAGAATTATATTTCTAAACTTTTTAATTAGTGAAATTGCACTACTTGGTTCTGCAATAATTATTTCCCAGTCATAATAGTAAAAATAACAAGTAACACTTATTTAACACTTAACATATGTCCTATCCTAAGCTCTTTAGATTTCAACAGTAGCATAGTAAAGTTAAGCGACTTGCCCAAGGTCACACACTGGTTGGTGAAGTTAGACATTCTGGCTCTAGAATCCCTGCTCTTAAACGTTGGCTATGCTGCTTCTCCTTATTCTGTCTGTTAACTTACAATTCTTGGAATCAATCTATCAGCCTAAAACAAAATGGCATAGTAACAATTATAAAACAAAATACAAATTATACAGACCTTAACATAGAAACAATGATTAACCAAAGTAAGGAAAAGGAAAGGAATGGGCAGGTGTTATTTTTCTTAACCTTTTATATACACATGGGCTCCCCAGGTGGCGCTGGTGGTAAAAACCTGCTTGACAATCCAGGAGACATAAGAGACACAAGTTCTATCCCTGGGTTGGGAAGATCCCCTGGAGAAAGGCATGGCAACCTACTCCAGTATTCTTGCCTGCAGAATCCCATGGACAGAGGAGCCTGGGGAGGGGGCCACAGTTCATAGGGCCACAAAGTATCAGACACGACTGAAGTGACTTAGCATGCACACATGCAACTTTCTATATAAAAGAAGTATAATACAGAAATTTCTATATAATAGAAAGTCAACAGTAAACTACATGAGTATAATGGAAAATAATAATATAAAAATCAGCAGGGAGGAGAGAGATAATGAACCTGAGCTAAATTTCTCATATTTCACAGTAAGCAAGATGGCTAATTTTATAGGTATACAGCAGTTGTCAGTAGACATTGTCTAATTTCAAAGTATAACATATAATTCATGTGGCAACTCTCAGAAAACTTAAAAATAGAAAAATTCAAGTTGATACATTAAGAAATTCAGAAGACTATCTGAATTTGGGAGACTTCAGAAAAACTAAAACTAGAAAAGGAGGAGGACTCAGGAAAGGGAAGAACTTTGTTTTTAACCATCTTAATTTTTATTAAAATTATCACATAGTACTTTATTATGAAAATAACTATGTAATACTACTAATAATAGAATATCCTATAAAGAAGGGCATAATTGATGAGAGTACCTTTCAATTCTGGCATGGTAACACAAAAGGACAATAAATGGTACCAGACTATGAAACTCAGTGGGTACAAAAAGAGGAACAAGGATACCATATAAACATATTACAGAACACTCATGCTCTTTGCGGATTCTTTGTTTCCACATCACTATGGGCTAAATGGCCCACCTTATATAAACTTCTCCAGGGACCTTTCATCCAGGGACCTTTCATCCACTTTAGACAACCACTGAGCCACACACACTCCAGGCCCCTACTCCGCACATTTCATTAAAGAAAGGGCTGCCTACATTCACACACAGGCCAGAGTCTACACTTGGCATCACTTTTTCAGGGAATAATTTGGCAGCCCTTATTCTTTGGTGGTTCAGATGGTAAAGAATCTGCCTGCAATGCAGGAGACCTGGGTTGGGTTCCTAGGTGGGGAAGATGCCCTGGAGAAGGGAACAGCTGCCCACTCCAGTATTCTTGCCTGAAAAATTCCATGGACAGAGGAGCCTGGCGTGCAACAGTCTATGGGGTTGCAAAGAGTCGGACACAACTGAGCAACTAACACTACTACTACTGAAATGTAAAACACAGCTACTCTTTGACCTAACAATTTCACTTCTCAGAATCTACCCTACAAGGACATTCCCAAATGCTCAAAGACAACATTATACAAGGACTTTCAATTAAGCTATTACTGTTTACAACAGAAGAAGACAGAAAGCAATCTAAATGCACACTGGTGGATACAGAACATTTCCTTACCATTTAGAAAATGAAATATATCTACATGGAGTAACACTAAAAAGTTTTTGCACCATGTTGCAGAGCAAGAAGAGGCAAGAAGTAGAATAATGTATTATACAAATTGTGTGAGATAAACAGACACGTCATTGGTACACGTGGGCTTAGGGTGAAAGGAGGAAACAAGTTTTTACTTTCGTACATGTTTTTGCCCTTTTTTTTTTTCGGGCCAGCATGTATTGTTTTTGTATTTTAAGAAATCGGATCATATCTCAACTGCCAAATTATGCTGTGCTTAGTCGCTCAGTCGTGTCCGACTCCTTGTGATCCCGTGGGCCACAGCCCGCCAGGCTCCTCTGTCCACGGGGATTCTCCACGCAAGAATACTGGAGTGGGTTGCTATGTCCTCCTGCAGGGGATCTTCCCAACCCAGGGATCGAACCCAGTTCTCCCGCACGACAGGCGGATTCTTTACCTTCTGGGACACCAGGGAAGCCACATATTCGGGGTTTGGGGGAAAAAATTCGAAAAGAGAAAACGCTCACCGTCTTGCCATTAGTTCAGTCTCAAATGGAAAAGAAGAAAAACAAAATACACCAAGCAGCATGCTGCCGTTTAGGATTAGCGACAAGGCTAGCTTTACCGGTTGGGTCATTTTTTTAGTGAATCGGGGCAGGAAAAGGAGGGCACAAAACAGTCACGGCGGAGATGAGGAGCAAAACCCAGGAGCGGCGGGGCCCAGCGAACCCGGGGACGCCCTCGGAGAGGACGCAGGGGGCCAGGCGGGCGGAGGCCCGAGCGCCGGGGCGGCGGGGGCAAGACACCAGGTCCCGGGTTGTGTGGGAAAGACCGCGGAGGAGAAGAGACCGAACGGACGGGGGGCCGGGGACACCGCCCCCACCAGGGGAACCTGTCGGGAGCCGCACGCCGGCCTGATGGCGACAGCTGGGCGGCCAGACCAGGGTCAGCTCAGGGCGCCCGGGCAGTCCGGGCGGCGGGCGAAGCCCGAGATCCGGGCCGAGCGCCCGGGCAGCCGCGGCGGCGACAGCTGGAGCCCGCCCCAGGACGAGGCCGGGGCTGCGGGGAGCAGGGCGGCAGAGCAGCCCGCGTACCTTCCCAGGAGAGCTCTCCTCCCGGCTCGCGCTTCAGAAACTTGTACCAGAACGTGTCCACGCGGCCCGGCTCCGCCCCGTCCTGCGCCGCCTCCTCGGCCGCCAGCTCCACCTCCCCGAGCCACAGGCCGGGCTCCTGCAGCGCCAGCGCGCCCGCGCCCGCCGCCGTGCCCGCCGGCCTCAGACGCACGGCCCCGCGCGGCTCCCAGCGCCCCAGCTCGGGCCGGGACCCCACGACCAGCAGCTCCGGCCCGGCCCCGGCCACGGCGGGCGACACCACCACCCCGAAGCGGAACCGCATGGCGGCGGGTGGCGCGACTCCGGGTCCCCCTTGTCCCTGCGACCGGCGGACGCGGCCCGAGCGCTAGGCGGCCGCGGCGATTGGGTCCCGGGCGCCGGCGGGGACACGTGCGAGGCTGCACCTTTTTTGGGCTGCATCACGCGGCCCAGGAGCCCCGAGCCTGATCCAGGCCGGGGCCTCTGGCCGCGCGCGCCCGGAGAAGGAGGCTGCGCCCGGCCTGCGGCCTCTTCTAGCGGCTCCGCCGGTGGCTGGGCACCGGGAGAAAGCAAAAACACGGGTTAGGAAAGCAAAGCAAACTCCCCATAAACTCCGAGATTTTCCAGTGACCTTTCCAAAAGACTCGAAATTATTTTTGTGAGTACAGGAATAATGTGGTCTTTTCTATCAAAGAATATAATCAACCCCTTCCTAGGAAACCCACCCCATTTTGTAGTCTTAAATTCCTGTACTGCATGGCAAATAGAAGGGAAAAGGGTGGAAATAATGACAGATTTCCTCTCCTTGGGCTCTAAACTCACTGCGGATCGTGACTGAGGCCATGAAATCAGAAGAGGATTGTTTCTTGGCAGGAAAGCGATGACAAACCTAGACAGTGTGTGGAAAAGCGGAGACATTATTCTGCCCACAAAGGCCGGTTTAGCCAAGGCTGTGGTGTTCCAGTGTCACTTCGGTTGTGAGAGCTGGACCTGGCCCATAAGGAAGGCAGAACCCAAAGCCAGAATGCCTTCGAACTGTGGTGCTGGACCAGACTCCTGAAAGTCCCCCAGACAGCAAGAAGATCAAACCAGTCACTCTTAAGGGAGATCAACCCTGAATATTCACTGGAAGGACTGATGCTGAAGCTGAAGCTCTGGTATTTTGGTCATCTGAAGCGAACAGACGACTCATTGGAAAAGTCCCTGATGCTGGGAAAGATTGAGGGCAGAAGGAGAAGAGGGCATCAGAGGATGAGATGGCTGGATGGCATGACTGATGCAATGGACATGACCTTGGGCAAATGTCCGGAGATAGTGAGGGACCGAAATGCCTAGCGTGCTGCAGTCCACGGGTTCGGAGAGAGTCCGAGAGGACTGGGCAACTGAACAACAGCAGCAAAAGTTCCTGTAACCAAGCTGCACGTGTTTGTAGGTCTCCCGCAGTGCAAGCGGATTCTTTACCGACCAAGCCACCAGGGAAGCCCCTCCCCCAGCTAGCTGCTTCATTTGTTCCCGGCCACCTCACTTGGCAGCTGCTTCACTTGAATTAGCCAATCGCGCTGGATTGTGTCACCACGCTCCCGTCAATCCGAGTTGTTCACTCCCCCAGTCCTGTGTGAGTCTTCAGGATCCCATGGCCTGCAGCCCGCCAGGACTCCCGGTCCCTCACCACCTCCCAGAGTGAGGTGCAGCATGTCAGGTAGAAACACCCAGGGGAGCAGTCTTCCCACTCAGTGTGATTGCCCGTCAGACTGTTGTCCAGTGTTTTTCTCATTCTCCCCGGCGACAGCCGGATTATATTTCCAACAACTGGGGGGCTCGTCGGGGATCCACATCACCTGGAGAGGTCAAATGAACTATCCACACCTCCCCCACCCCCCATCCCAGGGCCCCACCCCCTCCCCAGGAGATGCTCCCACTGTTTCCTTCAGGTGGCTTCGGGGGAGGGGAAATCTCCGATCCCTTGGGCTGACAGTAGGCTCCAGGTCTGAAGTTGATCTGCAACACAGGGGAAGGGCCCAGACAAGCACCCCAGAAACCAGGTAACTTCGTGCAAAGAGCAAGGCAAGAAACGCCACAAGAGGTGACAAAGTATTTCCTTGGATCAGGTCATCCCAGAAGCTGTCTGTGTGTGCGTGAGATGTGTCCTGAACACGAGGTGAGTGTGGAGTCCTGATCCAAGCTTCCACTAATATCCTTTGGTGACTTCATATGGCACAAGGCAATCCTTTCGGACCAGTCGGGGCCTTATACTGACCTACCAGTAGCTAAGAAGCACCTCTTCTGGGGATATTTCTCCCAGGAGGGAAACAGCAGGAGACAGAATTGAAGCGACTAACCCAGTGCTAACTTCAGTCGTGTCCGATTTTGCAACTTACGGACTGTAGCCTGTCAGGCTCCTCTGATTCTCCAGGCAAGAATACTGGAGTGGGTTGCCATGCCCTCCTCCAAGAATCAGATGATAGGAATGGGTAGAAAGAATTCTTCTTTAGGCAAGAAGGATTCCGAGGGGAGAAAGATTTCCCCTAGACAGTCCTCTAGTATGCTCCAACATTGAGAAGATAATCCTAGAACGAAAGGGAAAAAGAAACAACAGATGATAAAGTATTGCTGTTTCGTCTGGACTCAAGAACCTATATTGAAAAAAAAAAAAAAAAGAACCTATATTGAAACCATCAGTATTTTGGCCTAAGTTTCAGTTGGATGAAGATTGGATCTGCCAATTGTGTAAAGAATATGTTAATGACATGAGCCCAGTTGCCCAGGAAGAAATAGATCATGCTCTTTGTTGGAGAAAGGGCCAGTGGTTCTATTCCCCTTAAAGGTGGAACTAGGTAAAGAAAGGAGAAGGAAAATAATAAGTGGGATCCTATAACTGTTTGCCTCATCCTTATAACCCAGGAGACCTACAGCCTGAACTGCCCAAGAACAGCCTGAACTGCCTCCAATAGAAGAGGAAATAAGAACAGAGGAGAGGGAAACTGAGCTGGCCACCATGCCTCAGCACCCTCTCCAGCACTGTTTCCCTCCCTTCCTCCGTTGAGGAAGGATATAGAACAATGTAAAACGGACATTCAAATTTTACCCCCCACCAAAAGAGAGAAACCTCAGGCCCTCTACCTCCTCTGAGAAGTTCCCCTAGGAGGAGGGGGAACTGGATTTGTGGACATCCCCCCTACCAGCTCCAAGGTTCAAGAAATGAAGAAAGAACTGAAGCCCCTATTTGAGGATCCACCTGGGGTTGCAGACCAGCTAGATCAACTTTTAAGCCCCCAAATTTTCACATGGGCTGAGCTTATGTCTATCTTAGGTGTTGTATTTTCTGGCTAGGAAAGATCAGTGATTTGGAGAGCAGCGATGGCTGGCCGATTGGAAAAGGGAATACCCAGTTGGCCCAAATGTCTTAGTAGCTGAAGTGAAATTCCCTAAAAATGGGATAATAACAGTCCTGAACATAGGGGTCATATGAGAGATCTCAGGAACCTAATTATAAAAGGGATCAGAGAGTCACTTCCTCAATCCCAAAGTATTACTAAGGCCTTTGACATCCACCAAGGAAAAGATGAAGGGCTGGTTGAATTTCTGAGTAGGTTAAAAGAACAAATAAGAAAATACACTGGATTGAATTTAGATGATCCTCTTGGCCAAGATATGTTAAAGTTGCATTTTGTAACCAATAGTTGGCCAGATATTTCTAACAAGTTACAGAAATTAGACAATTGGAAATGTAGAAGTTTAGAAAAATTAAGAGAAGCCAGAAGGTATATGTAGGTAGGGATGAAGAAAAGCAAATAAATAATTAATGTTAGAAACCAAACTTCCTTGGACCAAGTGCCTCACAACTGCTCTTCTCAGAATCAGAACTGCCCTTCATAAGGATACTGGATTATCCCCATATGAGATGCTGTACAGGTTACCATATTTGGGTCAAATTGCTGACCTGCCAAGCATGGAAACTAAAGACCAATTTCTGAGAAATATATATTTGGCCTTTCCTCTACTCTGCCTTCTCTTAAGTTGCAGGGCCTTTTGGCTCAGGCTCCATCCTCGGATTTCCCATACATCCTCATCAGTCTGGTGATCATTTCCTGAGAAAAACCTGGAAGGAAGACAAACTCAGATTGGCCTGGGAAGGACCTGATAAGGTGCTGCTCATGAAGAAAACAGCTGCCCGCACTGCAAAGTAAGGTTGGACTCATTACGGGAGAATCAAAGGGACTCCATCCCCTAACAAAAAAGAACAATGGACTGTGGTCCAACACTCCAATCCTACAAAGCTGTCTTTGAAAAGACTTTAATATCCCTCTTGGTGATTCTGTATACCCAGATGCCTATTGTTGGGGGCAGCCCTTATCAGGTCAACTTAATTATTAATGTGACCATGAGCATGTGACCCCAACTGTGAAATTTGATGCTTTCCAGGTCTTGCCTTATGGTGACCTACACAGCCTAAAACAGCTATCTGAAGACCATAAGTACCTTTGTCCTGAACCACATCGGGCACAAAAGGAAATGATCCATGCCAACTCCCCTGCTGTAGTTGGGCCAAAGTATGATAGACTACCCAGGGTGGGTTACATGGCTAAACCATATAAAGCAGCTCCCACCCTCAGTTCAGTTCAGTAGCTCAGTCGTGTCTGACTCTGCGACCCCATGAATCGCAGCATGCCAGGCCTCCCTGTCCATCACCAACTCCCGGAGTTTACTCAAACTCATGTCCATCGAGTCGGTGATGCCATCCAGCCATCTCATCTTCTGTCATCCCCTTCTCCTCCTGCCCCCAATCCCTCCCAGCATCAGGGTCTTTTTCAATGAGTCAACTCTTCGCATGAGGTGGCAAAAGTACTGGAGTTTCAGCTTCAGCATCAGTCCTTTCAATGAACACCCAGGACTGATCTCCTTTAGGATGGACTGGTTGGATCTCCTTGCAGTCCAAGGGACTCTCAAGAGTCTTCTCCAAACCACAGTTCAAAAGCATCAATTCTTCAGCACCTAAGTAATATGGTAGGTGTTGCAAGAGGGCATCAGAGGGCAGACAGACTGAAACCATAATCACAGAAAACTAGCCAAGCTGATCACACGGACCACAGTCGTGTCTAACTCAATGAAACTAAGCCATGCCGTGTGGGGCCACCCAAGACGGTTGGGTCATGGTGGAGAGGTCTGACAGAATGTGGTCCACTGGAGAAGGGACTGGCAAACCACTTTAGTATTCTTGCCTTCAGAACCCCATGAACAGTATGAAAAGGCATAAATAGGATACTGAAAGAGGAACTCCCCAGGTTGGTAGGTGCCTAATATGCCACTGGAGATCAGTGGAGAAATAACTCCAGAAAGAATGAAGGGATGGAGCCAAAGCAAAAACAATACCCAGTTGCGGATGTGACTGGTGATAGAAGCAAGGTCCAATGCTGTAAAGAGCAATATTGCATAGGAACCTGGAATGTTAGGTTCATGAATCAAGGCAAATTGGACTTG